AGTTCTGTGGTCTGGTAATAAACTCACAACTCTTTGCATCTAGTCACTGGATCTACCCAACGTCTTTACCCACTAGGCCATGTGTCGTTGGAACTAAAACAATCTATCCCGGTGGACGAAATAAAAGGTTCGATTTTAAATTCCAGTCACCTGAAGATGGCCAGTGCGTACAACGGCCGAAACGTTGTGAATATGGTAAGGAAGATGACAGTCCGAATAATGTAGATATTGTAAGAATTTTCTTCGTTGTGTTCAAAATAATTTTTCTTCTCTTATTTTCTATTTTCATTCATATATTCTTTCCTTCGGGAATTCCTTCTTCCCCCCCCCCTCTTTTCAGAACATTATTTTCTGTTTGCTTCTATTAAATTTTTTTTTTTTTTTCATTTTTTTCTTGTTCCTTCCTTCCTTTATTTTATTCCCTTTCTTTTTTGTTTCGTAATTTTTTCTTCTAGTTCCTTCATTTTTCCTTAGATATTTCTCTTTCTTTTCATCATTATTTCGTCTATTTTTCCTTCACCATTCCTTCAGGTTTTTTCCGATATCATATTTCATTTTCTCTTTCCCGATTTGTCTCTCCCCAACCATTTTTGCTTCTCTCATAGATTTCTTCATTAATTCCTTCATTCCTTTCATTCTTTCATCTTTTCATTCGTTCCATGTCGTCGCCCTTGACTTTTCTGTATTATATTATTCATTCATTCTTTATTTCTTATTTACCCTCTTTCTATTTCTTGTTAATTTCTTCATTCATTCATTCCTTCCTGCCTTCTTTCTTTCTTTTCCTTCACATATTCTGAATTTATTCGTCGATGTTGTTTGGCTTTATATTTCTCTGAGTTCATGTATTTTTTAATCATTCTTCATTCCGTTTTTTCATTTTTATTGTTTACTGTATTTCTTCCAATTTCCTTTTTTTTTTTAAATTTTTCTTTATTGTTTTCTTCCAGTTTCGTTCCGCCATTTTCTATTCGGCAGCTATGTTAACTTTCTTCATATTTTGAGTGTAAACTTTTTTTGGTTGCTTTTTGTTTTCATTTGTCCGAGTATTATGTTACATCACGGATATTTCTTTTGTTTTTATTACATTTAATTTTTCTTTCACGAATTTTTAAATTTATAATTTACAGATGGAGAGAGAGAGAGAGAGAGAGAGAGTGAGAGAGATGGATAGAGAGAGAGAGAAGTATAAGAGTAATTTAGAAAGAGAAGAGAGAGATTATAGCGAGGGAAGTGACCAATAAGTAATGTTTGACTAAATTAAATTATAAAGAGAAGAGATGAAATAGGAGAAGGAAAGAGATAAAGAATTACTGGCGGAAGAAGAAGAAGGAGCGGTAGTAGTAGTAGTAGTAGTAGTAGAAGCGGAAGAAGTAATAGTGGTAGAGAAGAAAAAGAAGAAAAAAAGAAGGAGCGGAAGTAGTAGTAGTAGTAGTAGGGGGAGAAGAAGAAGTAGTAATAGTAGTAGTAGTAGAAGCGGAAAGAGTAGAAGAAAAAGAAGAAGAAGAAGCGGAAAGAGAAGTAGTAGTAGTAGAAGAAGCGGAAAGAGAAGTAGTAGTAGTAGAAGAAGAAGGAGAAGAAGCAGTAATAGTAGTAGAAGAAGAAGCGGAAAGAGTAGTACTAGTAGTAGTAGTAGTAGAAGAAGAAGAAAAAGAAGAAGAAAAAGAAGAAGAAGAAGCGGAAAGAGAAGTAGAAGAAGAAGAGGAAGAAGAAGAAGGAGAAGGAGAAGACGAGGAAAGGGAAGAAGAAGAAGACGAGGAAAGGGAAGAAGAAGAAGAAGAAGAAGAAGAAGAAGAAGAAGAAGAAGAAAGAGAAGTAGAAGAAGAAGAGGAAGAAGAAGGAGAAGGAGAAGACGAGGAAAGGGAAGAAGAAGAAGACGAGGAAAGGGGAAGAAGAAGAAGAAGAAGAAGAAGAAGAAGAAGAAGAAGCAGAAAGAGAAGTAGAAGAAGAAGAGGAAGAAGAAGGAGAAGGAGAAGACGAGGAAAGGGAAGAAGAAGAAGACGAGGAAAGGGAAGAAGAAGAAGAAGAAGAAGAAGAAGAAGAAGAAGAAAGAGAAGTAGAAGAAGAAGAGAGGAAGAAGAAGGAGAAGGAGAAGACGAGGAAAGGGAAGAAGAAGAAGACGAGGAAAGGAAGAAGAAGAAGAAGAAGAAGAAGAAGAAGAAGAAGAAGAAGAAGGTACAGTGAATAGGAAACCAATATAGAAGAGTAGAGGAAAAATAGATGAAGAGAATCTTATAAAAATGAAAAAGGTCAGGAAAGTGAATTTATTTTTCGCAACATCCATTTCTTCTATTTTTCGTTTATTACGTTTAAAATTTATTATTTTTCATTCTTTTAATTCCTTTTTTTCCTTCATTATTTTCCCCTCTTCATCTCATTCATGTTTTCCACAAATTGTATTTCTTATCTCTTTCATTCTTTTCACCTGATGCCTTTTTTCTTTCCAGTCCTTCTCTTCGTCATCTTCTATCTATCGTCTTTCCCTAACACTATAATACTGAGATCACTCTAAAAATAATTCTGCCAATATTTCTGGGGGCTATAGACCTGAGAAGATAATGGCCCTCCTCCTACTTCTACTCGTAGTCCATTCCTGGAAAATGTGGCTAAGAGAAATGGAATTATGGGAAGGTGACTGTAGTGAGGAAGAATAAAAGAATAGGGAACTAAAGAATAAACTGAAGAATATGGAAAAAAGGAGATTGCAGAAAAGAGAGAGAGTGAGAAAAATAGGGGAGTGATTTAGGAGGAGAAGAGATAAATTATAAAGAAGGAGGAGGGTAATGAGTGATAGTTGAAGGAGTGAAATTATAAAAGGAAGAGATAAAACTGAGAGAAAGGAAAAGATAGACAATGAAGAAAGGCAAGAAAGGAAATCTAACGGGAGGGAAAGAAAGAAGAAGAAAAGAAGAAGAAGAAGAAGGAAGAAAAATTAAATAAAAATGACAAATGAAAGCAAATGAGACAAAATGAAGAAGGTAAAGAAAGTAAAGAGAGAAGAAGAAAGAAGATAAGAAAGAATAAAGAAGATATAAGAGAGAAGAATGAAGATAAGAGAGAGGAAAAAAGATAAAAAACATAAGAGAGAAGAAGAAAGAAATAAGAGAAGAAGAAAGAAGATAAGAAAGATAAGAGAGAAGAATAAAGAATATAAAAAATAAAAAGAGAAAGAAGATAAGTGAGAAGAAGAAAGAAGAAGAAAAAAATAAGAGAGAAGAAGAAAGAAGATAAGAAACAAGATAAGAGAGAAGAAGAAAGAAAATAAGAGGGAAGAAGAAAGAAAATAAGAGGGGAGAAGAAAGAATATAAGAAATAATAAGAGAGAAGAAGAAAGAAGATTAGAGAGAAAAAGAAAGAAGATTAGAGAGAAAAAGAAAGAAGATTAGAGAGAAAAAGAAAAAAGATAAAAAAGAAGAATGTGAAGGAGAAGAGAAAGGAGAGAAAAAAAATAAAAGCTAGCATACACCCAGAGAGAGGGTGAAAGAGGGGATTGGATATCTATGAAAGTAGAGAGAAAAGGCACGGGGAATGAGGAAATATGAATAAAAAAGGGGGGAAATATTAGAAGAAAGAATATTAAATTAAAAAAAAAAAGACCAGATGAAAGAAAGTATAAGAGTAGACAGACATTAAGGAAAGATTTTCAAGAAGGTGGAAGATGAGGAAAAGGAAATACTGTAAATATCACGAAAAGAATCCGTAAAGCCGGCAACGAAGAATGAGAGATAAGGGAACGAAGAGAATGTGCATACATGATCTGGTGTAAAAGAGAGATAGAATGAGAGAAACGAGACGTAGATAGAAAGTAGAGAGAAGTTAAAGAGAGTACAGTAGGAAAACAAAGATGATGAGAAAGAGAGAGGAGAAAAGAGAAGCGAGTGGAAAAAAGAAAATGAATGAATGAAAAGAGAGTTGCTGGAAAATATAAGAGATGAAGAGATTCATAGAAAAAAAAGGAATTTGTTATGAACTTTAAGAGAGTTGGGTGAAGAAAGAGAGGAATGAAAAGGAGATAGGAAGAGGAGTGAAAAAAAGAGGTGAAAAGATAACAGGGAGAGGTGAAAGAAAGATTGTGAGAGGGGTTAAAAACAGATGTAAAATGGATGAAAAAAGAGGTTAAAAGAAGATAAGGAGAGAGATGGACATAAGAGAGATTAAAGGAAGATAAAGAGAGGGGTGAAAAAGTGATAGGTTAAAAGAAGATAAGGAGAGGAGGGAAAATAGAGTTTGTTTAAAAGATAAGAAGAGGGGTGAAAAAGAAGATAAGGAGACGGGCGAAAAGGGAGAGGTTAACAGTCGATAAAGAGAGGAGGGAAAAGAGAGAAACGTTAAAAGAAAATATGGAGAAGGGCGAAAAAGGGAGAGGTTAAAAGCATATAGGGGAAGAGAGAAAAAAGAGAGGAGGAAAAAAGGTAGAAGATTTGAAAAAGAGAGAGGTAAAATCAAAATAAGGAGAGGAGTGTAAAAAGAGATAGGTTAAAAGGAGAGTGAAAAAAGAGAGAGGTTAAAAGAATATAGGGAGAAGATTCAAAAGAGAGAGGTTGAAATAAGATAGGTGGAGGATTAGAGAAAGGTAAAATAAATATAAAGAGAGGAGTGAAAAAGAGAGAGGTTAAAAGAATATAGGGAGAAGAGTGAAAAAAGAGAGAGGCAATGGAAAATAAGGAGAGGAGTGAAAAAGAGATAGGTTAAAAGCAGAAAAGGAGAGGATTGAAAAAAAAGAGAGGTTAAAAGAATATAGGAAGAAGAGTGAAAAAAGAGAGAGGTAGAAAGGAGATAGGTAGAGGATTGAAAAAGAGAGAGGCAATGGAAAATAAGGAGAGGAGTGAAAAAGAGATAGGTTAAAAGCAGAAACGGAGGAGATTTAAAGAAAAGGAAGAAGAGGAAAAAAGAATAGAGGGAAAGGAGATAGGTAGAGGAAAAAAGAGAGGGCAATGGAAAAAAGGAGAGGAGTGAAAAGAGAGGATTAAAAAGCGGAGGAAATTGAAAAAGAGAGAGGTTTAAAAATAAGGAGAGGAGTGAAAAAGAGAGAGGTTAAAAAGGAGAAAGGGAGAGGATTGAAAAAGAGAGGCAAAAAAAAATAGGGAGAGAGTGACAAAGAAGTTAAAAGCAAAAAAGGAGAGGTAAAAAAAAAAGAATATAGATAAGGAAAAAAAGAGGGAGTAAAAAGAGAGATGAAAAAGGTAGGGCGTAATCAACAAAGAGAAAGCGGATAGGCAAAAAATGAAAAGAAAATTTTTGTATGATAAAAAGAGAGATTGATAAGAAAATGAGAGAGAGCGTGAAAAAGAAAGCAAAGAAAAGAAAAAGAAGGACAACGAAAAAAAAAACAGATGAGAGAGAGAGAGAGTAAAAAGAAGATTATTGATTGCCTTTCGAGAAACACCATAAAAAGATCTAAGGAGAAATTTTCGACCTAATACTCATAGTAATAATGATGATGACAGTTTTTAAGGGAGTGTTTTGCAATGCAGAGGGATAAGGCTTGGTAAAGAGGCAGCTTGTCTGCCTGGGTGTGGGCCCTGACAGATCACATCCGCTGCTAGTCACCCTCGACAACAAGGCTGTGGTCGGCTATCTTCCTGAAGCATTGTGAACCCAGCCTTTGTCGCCCAGCCCCGACAGTGTTCCCAATCGCCATCCCACCTTCTTTCTAATCGAGAACTGGGCCTTGTTGTGCGTGTCTCGTTGTCGTGTGTTATGACTCACTGTAATGGCAAAATAGCGGGGGTGACAGAAGGAAGGGTGTAGAGTAGAACTGAGGGTAGAATCTATAGGGTGACAAAGACTAATAGAGAGGGAAATTGAGAGATAGAAAGAATGTGAGACTTGTTAGTGAGAGTAGGAAGTGAGGAGAAAGAGAAAAAAACACAAAGAGAAATTATGAAGGGGAGTAGAAAGAAGAAAGGAATCAAGTAGGAAGAAAGAGTGATTAAAAGAAAAAGAAAACAGAACGATACAACGAAGAGAAATAAACAGACAGATATATATATATATATATATATATATATATATATATATATATATATATATAGAAGAGAGAGAGAGAAAGAGAAGAAGAATGATTAATGGAAATAGTGCGAAGGAAAAGCACAAAACGGGAAGGAAAAAGAAAAAGGAAACATAGAAAGGGCTTGATTAATAAAAAAAAAAACAGAAGAAAATGGCGAACTGAGGAAAAGAGAAAGAGAGTGAAGAGACAGAAAGCGAGTGAGTGAGAAGTGAGAAAGACAAAGAAGAAATGTGGGAGGAAGGAAAAGGAAAGAAGAAAAGAACGCAAGGAAATGGGAAGTAGAAAAAAAAACAAGAAAATGGGAAGAGGAAAAGGGAGCAAGAAAATGGGAAGTGGAAAAGGGAGCAAGGAAATGGGAAGAGTAAAAGGGGAGCAAGGAAATGGGAAGAGGAAAAGAGAGCAAGGAAATGGGAAGTGCAAAAGGGGAGCAAGGAAATGGGAAGTAGAAAAGGGAGCAAGGAAATGGGAATTGGAAAAGGAGCAAGGAAATGGGAAGAGGAAACGAAAGCAAGGAAATGGGAAGAGGAAAAGAGGAGCAAGAAAATGGGAAGTGGAAAATGGAGCAAGGAAATGGGAAGTGGAAAATGGAGCAAGGAAATGGGAAGAGGAAAAGGGGAGCAAGGAAATGGGAAGAGGAAAAGGGGAGCAAGGAAATGGGAAGGAAAATGGAGCAAGGAAATGGGAAGAGGAAAAGGGAGCAAGGAAATGGGAAGTGGAAAATGGAGCAAGGAAATGGGAAGAGGTAAAGAAAGCAAGGAAATGGGAAGAGGAAAAGGGGAGCAAGGAAATGGGAAGTGGAAAATGGAGCAAGGAAATGGGAAGAGGAAAAGGGAGCAAGGAAATGGGAAGAAGAAAAGGGGAGCAAGGAAATGGGAAGAGGAAAAGGGGAACAAGGAAATGGGAAGTGGAAAAGGGAGCAAGGAAATGGGAAGAGGTAAAGAAAGCAAGGAAATGGGAAGAGGAAAAGGGGAGTAAGGAAATGGGGAGTGGAAAATGGAGCAAGGAAATGTGAAGAGGTAAAGAAAGCAAGAAAATGGGAAGAGAAAAAGGGAGAAAGGGAATGAGAAGAGGAAAAGGGAGCAAGGAGGTATTGTAATTATTTACACTTTTTAGATTGTTCGGACTGTTGTCCTCATCTTCGTTGCCATATTCACGTTTCGGCCGTTGTACGCTTCAGCCTTCTTCAGGTAATTGGAATTTTAAACTGAACAGTTTATTTCATCCACCTGAGTAGATTGTTGTAGTTTCATGTACCATGCTTCTTCCGGAATTCTCAGTATCAGTTATTTCCCTTTAACTCAACTCCCCAATTTTTTGTTCACCTCAGCTGCATCCAGGAATTGAACCCACAAATCTTTTGGTTCAATTCACTGGATTCAACCAACGCATGTATCCACTCGGCCATGTGAAAGAAGCTGAAGTACCAAGAGAGAAGGAAGACGTAGAAGGAAGGACAGATAAAGTAGATATTCAGTTCTGAATAAATGATCGAGCGGAAAGTTTGGGAAGAAATAAAATTAAGACGAAACATTTTCAGTGTCAAACATATTTTTGCGATTCTGAAAAAAAAATGTAAACAAGACAGTGGACTGGTTTTACAAATGATTGAAAATGATGTCTAATTTTCAGAGGAAACTTGATGATTGTAACATTTGTGATGTTATCAAGCATCGTATCTAATCCAAACTGATGTTCGATGATTACGGACGTTGTTCTATAGTCCCCTGTCCTGATTTTGTAGCTGTCTTCAGGCAAATGCATCAAAAACGCACCGTTTCTGTTTCCTCCTGAGAGTCAAATCAGCCGTTTTTTTTTTTACCAAGAGAGAGATTTTCTTGTTATATATATATATATCAACGCATGTGATAAGTATAGGCTATTTTCCCTGAATCCAGTATGAAAATATTGCCGACTACTTGTCCGTGACGAAGAGAGTTTCATAATTGCGGTCATATCTACGCAGCGAAGATTCTCATAAAGAAAATCTGGAGGGTGAATCTAATATTTTTAACTAAGAAAATGTCGCTTTTTTTGCTAGTTGCTGATTCGTCACTTCACGGGCATATTCAGTGCCGCATCCGTTTTCTTTTAGCTTATTTTGCGAAATATGTGACACTCACCTGATCCTATCAAATATATCATATTTTAGAAAAACGATATATCACCAACAAACTTTGTGACTGTTTATTAATTTATAAAAATTTAAAACAATATTTATGAAATATATGTAAACTTATAGTGCTATAAACGTTATTTTTAGTAGCAGTTGGTGTCTGACTTTATATCCCTCTATTATTTTCTTGAAATTAATAACAACCGGCCTAGATCGAAAAGTCTTAAAGTGAAATGAGCCTTGACAGGAACTGAACCTGTATCCATTTTTTCCCATCAGAGAAGCCACGTCTTATTTCTTTTGGACGGTCGCCTTGTTTAAGATAGTGTATGCTGCCATAATCCTTGCCTTCATTTCATCTTCGATGTTACAAGGAGTTTTGTTGATTTCTCGCTTAATTGCGCCTCACACATAATAATCAAGGAGTTTGCAGTCTGGGAAGTTAGGTGGCCAGATGTAAGATGTGGCTTAGATATGGCCAAAGTCGAAATAATCGTGTACCTATTGCGGATCGAACTCACTGCTCAGTCGTAACTGTTATAGCGAGATGGGCTTGCTAATCATGACACCACGTGGAGATACCCAACAAAATATCCACTTCGTTTGCATTTTAAGTAATATACCTTTTTAATCATCACACCACAAGCAAGACAATAAAGCCACTAAGACGCAAAGGGTTACTGAATGTGAGAGAATATGAAAAAAGAAAACATTATTAAAAGAAGAGAACAATAAAAGATCAGGAAATAAGAAAAGTGAAGGCAACGATTAACATTGCATTTAAATTTTTAAAGAACAAATTTAACCGGAAAGCAAGAAGCTGGAGGAGAGTTCCACACACGAGAAGTGCAATAGAAAAAAACTGTTTGCATAGAACTTAGGGTTGCATCTATTCGTTTCAGCTGTAAAATATGCGTGGACACTCTAAGTAATGTTTAAGTAATAAAATCTGTTAGATTAATAAATAAAAATCCATTACTTCTTTAGAAATATATACAACCTTGTGCAAATTAATTGAAACTATAGCCTTAGTTTCCTTTTTTTAACCATTCGGTCAGTTTTAGACCCACTAGAATGACAGGATGTAAACGATTTCTATATTTTCTTCAGATTCGGTAATTTGCAGTGTTGTGCAGTAATATGAATCTATTTTCGAGGTGTAAGATGAAAATTGTTTGACCTTGAAAAATATTGCGTCAGCCGTAATTTCATCAGATTTTTATCACGCCCAGAAACTATTGTCTCGACAATCGATTAGTTGTCCTACGGCCATTGTCTGCATTGGACGTTACTCCAAAGTAGCATACGAAAATTGTAACGCTGCACGAACACACTAACATGCCTTACCAGTAAGCAAATCAAAGTACAATAGACTGGCTCGGAAACTCTCCTGATTTAAATCCATTCTAGAATCTGTGGTCAATTTGCAAGGAACAACTTTGTGGGATAAACATACGAAGTACTAACATGCCCATTGGGTCATGTTCCATTGGAAAAATACGAAAATTAAATAATAACAGGATAATTCGTTTTGTTTCAATTAATTTGCACAAGGGTGCATATATATATATATATATATATATATATATATATATATATATATATATATATAAAGTCATCCCATAAGTTCTGTCCGAATTTTAACTTTTTGTTAAAATGAACGAAATTTGAAGAGTATTTTATAATATCTAATGAAGCTGAACATTATTTTTATGTTTATATGCATTTAAACTGATCAAATTGTATTTCAGAGAACAATAAAATTAAATTTTGTTTGATTAAAACCCTGCTAAGAATCATTTGAGGCACATAATGCTTTATGAGTTGAAGAAAGGAAACTCAGCAGCCGAAGCGGCTAGATACATTCACTCAGTTTATGGAGAGGAATGTGTGAATGAAAGAACTTGCAGAAGATGTTTTGCAAAATTCAGAGGTGGAGATTTCACCCTTGAAGAAGATGATCGAACCGGACGTCCAGTTGAGTTTGATGAAAAGCTTCTTGAAGCAGCCCTTGAAGAAAATCCTGCTTTATCAGTTGAGGAATTGGCGGTGGTTCTCAGTTCAAACCATACAACTGTTCATCGTCATCTTCAACAACTTGGAAAAGTTCCTAAACTTAGAAAATGTGTGCCTCATGAATTGTCTGAAAACAACCTCAAATCCCGAGTTGACATCTGCTCTTCTCTCCATTCTCACCAACTTGTTTCACGTTTTGTGGATAGACTTGTGACTGGCGACGAAAAATGGATCTTTTATCGAAATGTTAAGCGTCGTAGACAGTGGCTTGATAAAGAGGAAGGACCCCAGCCACAGCCGAGAAGGGAACTTTATGGGCAAAAGATTCTTCTTTCAGTTTGGTAGGATCGCCAAGAAATAATCCACTTTGAATTCTTACCACCTAATGCAACAATTAATGCTCAAATATACTGTCAGCAATTAGAGCATTTGAACCATGCTTTGAGGAAAAAAGACCTGCTCTAGTGAATCGCAAAGAGGTGATGTTTCCTCAGAACAATGCGCGGCCCCACACAACAAGAATCCCGCCACAAAAGATCGAAGAACTTGGTTGGGAGAAAATTCCTCATCCACCTTATTCTCCCGATCTTGCTCCTTCAGACTAACATTTGTTTCGTAGCTTACAGAATCATTTGGAAGAAACAGCTTTTGTAACACAGGAAGAGGTTAAAGCTGACATTTGTGAGTTCTTGGAATCAAAGCCAAAAGAATTTTAAAGTAATGGAATTAGTAAGCTTGTTAATAGAGGGAAGTCAGTCATAGATAATCAGGGAAAATACATTGTTGATTTAATCTGTAATTAAATGTAACATTTGGTCACTTGTTTTCTTTATTCAAAATTCGGACAGAACTTATGGGATGACCTGATGTATTAAAAAGAAGAGAGAAACCGCAAACTTTTTTTTGGTTGTAATGTGGATTTTTTTTTAAATATTAAAATCCACATTACAACCAAAAAGGTTTCTGGTTTCTTTTTTTTTTTTTAATATACACACTTTTCTCTCGTTGGAACTACTATAAGCTCTTTTTTTATATATATATATATATATATATATATATATATATATATATATATATATATATATATATATTACCATGAAGCAGTCATACAAAGAATAAATTAGCAAGGTTATTGTAATAAATGGCGAATTCACTTCGCTAACAAATTTAAAAAGTATTAACCCACTAACCATTCGTTGAATGATGCGATACTTGGTTCTTTAGATGTTCTGTATGTTCCATAAATATGTTGGTACTTTCGGTAGGTCATGCTATCATCATCAGGTATGGATATTATTTTTGTTTTTAGGTAAAATTCAGGTGACATCCGAGATGAAAGTAAATGTAATACATGTCGAAATTTTTTGAAGTGCGTTATTGTTAGCAGTTACAAAAAGTATGGAGCGTGCAGTCGCAACGCTAAAGTTGAATTTTGAAAATTTAAGTGACACCGTTTTCGAATTTACTGATATGGAAATTCCGAGAATTATATTGTTGTATGTATTTTATCAGTCAAAGTGGGATGAACTTAATGATCCAATAACTAGAGCAATGTCCCAGTTGTTTTCCAGAAATTTTCCCTTTTAAATTGATGATTGGTACAGTATAATTAATATTACAATGAAGCAGTCATACAAAGAATAAATTAGCAAGGTTATTGTAATAAATGGCGAAATCACTTCGCTAACAAATTTAAAAAGTATTAACCCACTAACCACTCGTTGAATGATGCGATACTTGTTTTTTTAGATGTTCTGTATGTTCCATAAATATGCTAGTACTTTCGATAGGTCACCCTATCATCATCAGGCATGGATATTATTTTTCTTTGTAGGTAAAATTCAGGTAACATCTATATATATTGTTTGCGTCAGTTATCCGAGAATAGACATTTAGTGACCTATAGCCATATGTCGACCTAAATGTTTAGCGGTATAAGTCGAATTTGAACATTTTTCTTTCTCTATTGGATGTATCGAGAACATTAACACGGCTGCTTCCAATCTGATAAAGGAAAAGAACTCATACTCTGCCCGTGACGCTATCTGCCAACCACGGTTCATTGGAGGTAGCCAGCGAGTTGAAATTCCTCAAATGAACACGTATCTCTGCCGACCCCACATCGGTAATTACGGTAATGCACACTAAATTCCCACCGTCTGTGAACATCTAGCGAGGGTCATGAACATTGAGATTCATGACGTTTCACTGCAATTCATCTGGAAGTGCTTCAGGTTGAAGATCACGGCCAATAACAAGTTGTTGTACATGTTGAGGAAGCCCTGAAGAGGTCGTACGTGTTTCAGCAGAAATCTACTCCCTTCAGCGTGACTTGTGACCGGGTCTGCTTCATAACTTTGAACGTCATTTGTCCGAAAACTGGCTTTAGCGAGAAACAATTA